AAGGAAAGAGGCAAGTGGAGGAAATAGGAAGCAGAAGAAGTAGGACAGACAGAGGAGGCTGGCCCCGCAGAAGAGCAGGAAGCAGGTTTTTTGGCTGCAGCCAGGTTCAAAGGCGGAGGGGGGCGGGATCAAATCACCTCTCTGAGCCCCAAGTGCAGAAAGTCTAGGACTTTACACCAGTGTGTAAGGGGAGGGGCTCAGAGGCTCACAATCTATAGAAGTTCACACAAAAGCAGCCTTTTCACTGCTCTGGGCACCCAATTCAGGCCAAGGACATTTTCTGTGAAAACTGGTGTCTGGGAAAAAGAGAGTCCCCCTCCCCTTTCTTCCCACCAGCTGACTATCCTCCTTTGAGATGCAAGCCCCTCTATGAAGGCCTTGGGTTAGTTTTTCTTATCACACTGTGTTTCTGCAGGCGCTTCCCCGGCCTGAAAATTCTTTTGCAGAAGTTTTGCTGAGAGTCTGAGAACAAATTATGGTGGGGTCTCTGGAGAAGCTTAATTAAGATTTCTGTGGAGAAGGGGGTGCACTACAGAGAGGCAGCTCAACAGTAACACAGGTTTATTGAGGATGTAAGATTTATGTTTTCTCTTCTGTCAAGGTTGGAAATTAACATGGTTACTGTAACTCAAGTTTCACAAGTATATAGGAGCCATCTTAAGTTAGGGAACCAGGTGGTCAGAAGGAAGCCATCTTGAAAGGGTGGAGTCATGTGATTAAAATAGAGCCATCTTGAAATTAGGAAGTCATGTGACCAGAGTGGCACCATTTTTAAATTCCCTAACAAATGTCCAATCATAATTGTAGCTCTTCCCTTTTGCTCACCCCAATTTTAAATTAGCTAATCACATAGATTGTACCGCCAAGCTCTTCCCATCAGGAGCAAGGGGCGGTCCTTCCTTGGGGACAAATGTTGGTGGACTGCCTGCTCAGGTGTGCTCGCTCCCAGCTTCTCTTTGGGAGCGCACCCTTCTGCAGAACACATTTCCTTAGCTGACCCACTTCCAAGCACACACTTAATTTCTTATGGCATCTCGTCATTTCTAACAGGGACAAACCTGCAGAGGGAGGCCCAGAGGATACTGGGATTCAACTCAGTGGAGACTGAGCATGGGGTAGTTATAGAAGCATAAGGGAGTGGGGGGATTTTTGTGGTGAGGCCATTGCTAGGGGGTAAGGGTCCTTGTGGTGTCACCTCTATTCTTTGAGGTGGTCACTGTTCCATGTCAAACCAGTTTTCAGGATTCAAGTCTCAGATAAGAGTTCCTTTTCTTTGCATGATAATGGAATACTGACTAGGTTTATGTCAGACTGAGTCGGAGATCTTGTTCTAAGATGGGGTATATGTTTCAAAAGGCATTGCCTGTGTCAAGTATTCCTAACAGAGAAGACCCACTCTCCCTTGAGAGTGTTCCCTTAATCCCTTCCCCATCCCTTCTACTAAACTCATCCTATTACTCTAAGTGGCTTGTCTAAAATCTTTCTACCTTGATGGCAAGAACTGGGGTTTAAACGGGGCACAGTTGCACACGCCTGTAATGCCAGCAGCTCAGGAGGCTGAGGCAGGAGGATCGTGTGTTCAAAGCCAGCCTCAGCAACAACTAGGTGCTAAGCAACTCAGTGAGACCCTGTCTCTAAATAAAATACAAAATAGGATTGGGGATGTGGCTCAGTGGTCGCGTGCTCCGGAGTTCAATCCCCAGTACCCCCCCAAAAAGAATTGGGGGATTTGAAGGGGAAACCTTCGGGTGCCTCAGTTTCCTGAAAGATCCCAGCTCTGTAATATCCCCAGGTGGCCCTTGAATTTCTCAGTTCCATCGAAATGACCCTTTGGGAGCGCACCCTTCAGCAGTTGCAGCCTGGCGCTGAGGGCGCAGGAGTGGCTCCGACTGCTGGGCTGAGGTGGAAACTGAGGCCTCAGGCCTGACCACCAGCTGGGAGGCCAGAATCTCAGTCCTCTAGGACCATTTGGGAAACTGAGGCCGTACGCTGGTGGTGACCTGGAGGAGCAAACTGAGCCCAGGACTAAGGTCGTACCACCCTGAATGTACGGATCTCCTCTGAGGCCCAGGACTAGGGGTTGCAGGTTGGGGCCTCGGGCTCTGCCTTACTGTAATGAGCAAGGAATCTGAGGCCCGGGACCACCGCTCTGGAGGGGCTTGGAAGCCTTGGCTGTTGGGACCCGTGGGGACACTGAGGCCCGGGGACCGAACAGACTGCCGGGGGCGAAGCAGCCTCGACGAAGGGTTAAAGCGCCCAAATCAGGCTCCAGCCTTCAAAGGGTTAAGGCTCCCCTTCTCCCACCGATTCCCCGATTGGACCGACGCGAGCCTGCCCAGTAATTATATATCTCACCTTCGGCCAATCGGCAGCAGCCGGTGTGCCCCGCCCCCAGTCAATATTTCGCTGCCGAGTCTACCGGACTCAGCCAATGGGCAACGGTGCACATCGACCAATCACCAGGACGCCCCACCCCCGGTTTCACGCACCCAATCGGGTGCAGGGACTGGTTCTCAACCAACCAATCAGCTCGCGGATAAAACCTGGACCTCGGCTCTGGCGCGCGGGCGGAAAGGGGGCGGAGCGGGCTGGTTCCGCGCCGGACCCCGCAGTTTCGGCCTTTGTCCTCGGTTTAGTCCCCGGCCTCTGCCCCGGGACTTTCGCCCCCAGGCCCGGCGCTGGAACTCCCTCAAATCCCGGATGGGACTTCGCCGGGTTGAGAGGCGCCGTGGACTGGCCTCAAATGCGGTGGGTTTTCCCGCCGTCGGAAGAGAGGACAGAACGTTCTGGGCTCCGGGGAGGACGCTGGGGACTCTGCAGCGCTCTGAGGAGCAGGACGTGACACGGAACAAGAGCAGCAGAAGTGTGAATCATCAGCATGTATTATTTTTGTAGCCCAGGACTCCTGCTGACTGACCAGCCAGTAACTGGACCCTCCAGCTCCCCCCAGACTCAAAAGAGACCAAGGTGGCCTCAGCTTATTTCCCCACATCCTTGCTCACTTTCTCTTCCACCTCTTGCCTTCCAAAATTTTGAACCAGCCTTCCAGCTGCTAGAGCCCACCTGCATGGACCGCGGTCATTTCTTCCTTGGGCACCCCAGAGGGACCTTGCCAAAAAGCACGTGTTACCACCTCCCTCCCCTGAACTAAACCCTTCTATGGCTCCCTATTGCGTTTGACAAGTAAAACTGAAACCAACCACTGTGACCTAATGGGCAACTTATATGGCACGTCTGTGTACATCTTACATGGTTGATACTGTGTTCAGTTGCTTAGCAGAGGAAGAGATCTGTGGAGTACAAAGGCTTTTTGCTATCCGTATAACGTCCAGGCAGCCTGTCTCTGTATTAAGAAAGTTGAATATGTGATTTTTAAAAAAATATATATATATATTTAGTTGTAGATGGACAAAGTACCTTTGTTTTATTTATTTGGTGCTGAGGATTGAATTCAGTGCCTCACACGTGCTAGGCAAGTGCTCTACCACTGAGCTACAACCTTAGCTCCCAATACGTGATTTTAAAACTCCAGGTTTTAGCTGTTTAACTGAAAAGTTCTGCCATGGCTGGGGATACAGATCAATAGTAGACCCCTTGCCTAATTTCTGTGAGGCCCTGGGTTCCAACCCTAGTACCACAAAAACCAACAAAACGCTCCTGACCTTCTGACCTTCTCCCTCATGACTAGACACAGAAATCCTTAACGAAGTACTAGCAAATAAAATTCAGCGATCTATCAAATGAGCCAAGCTCCATGGCACACACCTGTCATCCTGGCCATCTGGAAGCTGAGGCAGGATTGGGAGTTCAAGGCCAGCCTGATCAGTTTACTGAGACCCTGACTCAAAAAATAAAAAGAGCTGGGGACTCAGTTCAGTGGTTCAACACCCCTGGGCTCAATGAATGTATATAATGAATTATACAAGTTACACGCTGTGACCTAGTGAGGCTTGTTCCAGGGACATAAGGCTGCTTCAGTATTCAAAAATCAATTCACGTCATCCGTCATTTTTTCAGGCTGTGGTTGGCAGAATACTATTCCCCTAACCTGTATCTCAGGGGCAGTAGGTTGAGGCAATTTCATGAGACCCTGTCTCAAAATAAATAAATAAAAACAAAAAAGGGCTGGGGTTGTAACTCTGTAGTAAAATGCCCCCTGGGTTCAATCCAGCCACTCAGTCCCCTAAAGATGTTCATATCCCAATCCTCAGAACCTGTGAATTCACCAGGGTATGTGGCAATGGGAACTGACGACCGTGGATGGGAGGCTGGGGTGCCTCAGTGGTAGAGCACTTGCCTGGATTGTGCGATCTATAAAATGGGTTCCATTCTGGGTTCCATTCTCAGCAGCAGCAGGAAAAAAAAAAAGATGTTTAAAGTTGCTGATCAACTGCCTTTTCAGATAAGAGCATCCTGAAGTATCCAGGATAAAGGTCCACAAAAGTGGAACAGAGAGAGCAGGAATTCAGAGCACAGCCCCTGAGAACTCTTGATCCAGAGGGACCCGCGGTAGGCTTTGTGGGTACAGAATAGGGGACCACGCACGGGAGGCTCTGAAACTCTAGAGAAGGCAGAAATTAGATGCCTGCACAGGGCTGTGAGAAGGGATGGGATGGCGCGGCAGGAAGGCTGTCAGGTTCCGTATTTGGCACGCACGGTTTGGGGTGGTTCCCCTGGAGACCCCAGAGGCGACCTTGTTCCAGCAGGCCAGGGGCCTGGACCAGGGTGCTGTGAGGTGGCTGTGCCACCCCTCAGCCCTCAGGCGCCACCTGCCTCCCTACTCAGTCTGGCTCAGGAAAGAGCCCAGAGAGACATTTCCCTGGGATCCTGGGCCTGCCCTGTCCCAGCCCCCGCCCAGCACTGGCAGGGGAGGGAGGTGACAGGGGAGGGAGGTGACAAGCTGACAATCGAAAGGAAATTCCCCTGGAACCTGTTTCTCAGCTTCCTGGCCCGGCTGGGGCGCCAGCTGGAAGGAAAGGCGGGCGGAGACCCGGGCCGTCATGGCCTCGGCCCCAAGCCCACCCCGGGTCCCCAAGCCCAAGGGCATCCAGCCTTCACACTATTACGAGAGCTTTCTAGAGAAAAAGGGACCCTGTGACCAGGTAAGGTGGGCAGGGAGCCAGCAGTGCTGGGTGGCCCCGGCAGGTGTGCCACCTCTCTGAGACTGTCTCCCTGCTGGCACGGGGTGGGGGCGGTGGGGGCTGGACATCTGGGCCTGCTGGGGCTGGGGCTGGTTCTGGCCCTCGGCCTGGCTACCCCTGTGTCTCCGTTTCTCAGGCTCCGGCTCCAACCTGACCTCCTCTGTCCCTCCTGTCAATCTCTGCCTCCTCTCTGTACAGGTCTCAATCCCTCTTTCCATCCCTTGGGTACAAACAAATCCAGGGACTTCCTCCAGAAACCGGAGCCTTCTCACTCCCACGCCTCTTCCCGTGCCCAGCCCTCAGTTGGCCCTGTGAACTTTAGCTGCAGGGGTCAAGGCCCTGGACAGGTGGCCTGGGGGGGCAGGGCGAGATGCTGGGGGCCACATTCAGCAGGGACAGGCACCGGCCACAGGACCAAGGCCGGGGGCGGTGTGTGCTCCTCCCGGTGAAGCCCAGCCCTCAGTTTCCCTTGGGCACTGTCCTTCCCTTCCCCTGCCCAGATTCATTTTCTGCTGTAGACCCCCAGCACCCCCTGCTCCCTCCTGCCTCGGCCACCGGGGTTCCCATCTAATTCCATTGCCTTCTGCCCTGGGCACCCAAACCTTCCCCAACCAACAGATCCCTGCAGCAGCAGGGGAGAGCCCTGGCTCCGCTCCCCTCAGTCCCGGCCTTTGGCCTCAGTCTCTGAGCCTTGGTTCCACCTGGCAGGATGTGGGTGGGTGAGCACCCAACTCGGGCAGGCACCTGGGCGCCACATCTGTCTACCCACCTGTTCTCACAAGACCCCAAGGCGGCAGCCGCTATCATTGCCACTTATACCCAGGGAAACTGAGGCCCTGAGAAAGATGATTTGTCCCACAGCGTCCGAGTTGAAGCAGGATGAAACGGGTTTAAAAGAGCCCAGTCCTAGTGAGGACAGGCCCCAAGGTGCCGCGGGACCAAAGCACAGAGGCAGGCAGACCCCATTTCCCACAGTGTAACTTCCTGGGGGACATTCTGACAGAACCCTGTGATTTGGCCAGAGAGAGGGGGGCGTATCACTGTGTCAGGACAGAAGCAGCTTCATCCTGACTGGACGGTACCTGGGTTATCCAGCTCGTCACACCCAGGCGCAGCACGGTACGGTTGTGAAGTCCCACACAGCACTGTGACTGTGCTATCTATTTATAATCCGCCGGGAAACTGCAGGAAACATGGACTCAGATTATGCTGGGGTGATCTTGGTGGTTATGACCCAAGATGGCTGAGGTCACGCTGGGCTGGATCCATAGCACCACCCCGAGGTTAGCCAAGTACTGTCCATTCCGGGCCTGATGGTGCCTGGTGCACGTGGTCCCTATGGTAGTTAACCTCGAGTACGTGTCTGTGGGCAGCTGGAGGGAGAATTGATGGGCAAGTGGGCTGCTGGCTGGATGGCTGGGTGGACGGGTGGATGGTAGATGGACAGATGGTAGGTGAGGGGTGAACGGCTGGCCGGCTGGGCAGATGAGTGGATGCAGGGACGGGTGATGGTGGGTAGATGGCCAGGTGGGTGGCCGCTGGGTGGCGGGCTGGCTGGTGGAAGGAGCACCACAAACACAGTTCACCTTACTCCTTGAGCCCCCACCTCCTAAACCAGACAGGTGCTCTTTAAGTTTCTTCTTCTTCTTCTCTTGTGACTCTGGAGATGGAGCCCGGGACCCCACTCGCCCCAGGCCGGTGCTCTACCACTGAGCCACGCCCAGCCCACAATTCCTTTCTGTCTTTCTCAGAGGAGAGCAAAGCCCTAGGAGCTGGGCCCTGGGTGTGAAGGGCCTCCTGGAGAGGCAGCCTTTGAGCAGACAGACAGACAGCAGGCGCTGGAGGGAGCTTGGGCTCTGGGGACGGTGGCCGGGCCCCGAGAACAGCCAGTGCCAAGGCCCCGAGACACGGAGTGTATTGCAGACACCCAGCTTTGCCACCTCACCTCCTTCCCCCTCCACCTCTGGTCCGCAGGGTTACAAGAAGTTCTGGGCAGGTCTCCAGGGCCTCACCATCTCTTTCTACAGTAGCAATCGGGACCTCCAGGTAAGCGCGAAAGTGGGGGTTCATGACTGGTCCATCCTCGATTCCGGGACCAGGAGACGGTATGCGTGGTGTGGCCACCACAGCAGCCACATCATCTAGAGGGCCTGAGGGGACACAACCTGTGCTCAGACCCCTCTTCTATGTCCCAGCCCCTGGAGAAGCTAGACTTGAGAGCCTTTGTGAAACTCACAGATGAAGCTCCCTGGGCAGGCTCACGTGACCCTGGCATCCACTTCAGCCTGGTCCTCCGGGATCAGGAGATCAAGTTCAAGGTAGGCCACTTGGAGGGGCTTGTCCCTCCTTATTTCCCTGCCCCATTAACACAAACAAACATGGAGTCAAGTGGACTCTTACGCTGGGCTGGTGACGCTGTGCAAGTCACTCAACCTCTCTGAGCCTCAGACATCTGTGAAAGAGCTCACGGGCAGAGGGTACAGCTTGTGCCAAGACCCCGAGGCAGGACAGAGCGTGACAGAGTCCGGTGCGTCGAAGGCCTGTGTCAGGAGAGGGAAACAGAGAGGAGGAAAGGCAGGAAGGGACAGGGTGGGGCTTGTGTGCTGCAGGACTTGGGAGCCATGGGGAGTTGAGCGTAGGGAGGTGTGTGTGATCTGATTCATGTGTCTTCCCTTCCTTCCATTTCTTTTCCTCTTTCTCCTTCTCTCCCTCTCTTTCTTTTTTTCTTTCCTTGTGCTGGGGATGGAACCCAGGGCCTCACACATGCTAGGCAAGTGCTACTGCTGAGCCACCCACACACATCCCTAGTCCTAGATTCATGGTTTTCTTTTTACTTACGTATTTGTTTTCGTACCAGGGATTGAACCCAGGGGTCCATCACTGAGCCACATCCCCAGCCCTTTTTACACTTTATTTTGAGACAGGGTCTCATTAAGTTGCTTAGGACCTTGCTAAGTCGCTGAGGCTGGCTTTGAACTCATGATCCTCCTGCCTCAGCCTCCCTAGCCGGCGCCCAGCTAGATTCCTGTTTTTCAATGGTTGGTATAATCACTAACAGGGATACACCCCACATTCGTGAGGACTTATATCCAGACATCATTGTACATTAGCCTGCCGAACTCATTTCATCTTCAAACAGCCCTTGGGAGCAGGGACTGTTATTCCCGGGCCGGTTCCACCGCCGAGCCCACGGGGTCCAGTCAGCGCTGGGCTCGCTTTCCCTCCCTAGGTGGAGAGCCTGGAGTCTCGCGAGATGTGGAAAGGCTTCATCCTGACCGTGGTGGAGGTGAGTACGGCCCTGCCCTTGCTCCATTCTCCAGCAGACCGCCTTAGAGATCCTCTCCCTGTCCACCCCTCAGTCGGAAGGAGTCTCTGGAGTGTGGCACACTGGTCACCAACTGGCCACTTGCGGGCACAGGTAGCCCATAGACATCTGTTTGGCCAACATAATGCTAAAACTCAAAATTAGCTGCCATTGTTTCAAAACCAGAAATTTTAGCCCCCATTCCTGATTTTTCTCATTTACTTATTTGCTTCCTGCCTGGCCCTGGCAGGCCACTGAGTTTGGGACTTGCTGCCCCTGTAGATTGTGGAGTGTGAGACCCCAGACTCCAGCACCAGCAGCATCCCCCTCTGCAGGGCCTCCTCTCATCCTCTGGAAGCCCTCTTTGCCCCTACGGTGTCCTGAGGCTCTGGAGCCCTCAGACCCGGGTTCTTATCCTGGCTCTGCGAGCTGGCCTCAGTTTGCCTGTCGGGGATGTGGGCACACATGCTGGTTCACGGCTTGGGCCCTGATCACCCCTCAGCTCCGCATCCCATCCAAGCTAACCCTGCTGCCAGGACACCTGTATATGATGGCCGAGGTCCTTGCCAAAGAGGAGGCGCGCCGCTCCCGGGAGACGCCGTCGTGAGTGCCAGGGCCTAAGGGACTCCAGGATGGGGACGAAAAGGGGGAGTGGCTGACGGTGTCCCTGAGCTGGCTCAGGTGACCTGGTTGAGTACAGGCTGCATCAGGGTTGGAGCGGGGCAAAGAACTCATACTGGGTTCGGTGGGATGGGATCTTGGGTCTCGGTGCCTAGAGGGTCTCCAGGTGGCCTGCAGGGTGGCCAGGCCTTGTGGGCCGACGGGCGTGTCTGGACCCTGAGGGCGGGGCCTGAGGATGGGCCTGGCCTTCAAGCGCGGTCCTAGGTTCCTGGGGAGCCCTCCAGGGAAGGGTCTGGGTTTGCCGGGCGGGAAAGTTCTCCAGGTGAGTCCTGAAAGGTGTACCTGGCCTTCTGACTAGGGGATGGAGAGGACCTCCAGGGTGGATCACGTGCCCAAGCAGAACTGGCCCTTCAGGGGCGGGGTTACTGAGGAAGGCGGGGCTTAGCTTCTGGGGGCAGGCTCTCGGCCTGGGGGTGGGTCTGGGTGTCCGGGGCGGGGCCTGGGCTTAGGTCTGGGGGTGGGACCCCAGGGGCGGGGCCTGGAGCTGGGCGGTGGGCTTGGTCCTCGGGGCCACCCGCTCCTGCGGGACCCGGCGGTGCCAAGTAGGTGGCGCGGCCCGCCCCAGGTGCTTTCTGAAGGTGAGCCGGTTGGAGGCCCAGCTGCTCCTGGAGCGCTACCCCGAGTGCGGGAACCTGCTGCTGCGGCCCAGCGGGGACGGCAAGGACGGCGTGTCAGTCACCACGCGACAAACGCTCAACGGGTACGCGGGACGGCCCAGGGGCTTGCACTGGGCGGGTGGGCGTGGGGCGTGCTCGGAGGGGCGGCCGAGCCGGGACCTAGGGGACCAGCGTGACGCTGGATCTCCCTTGGGCTTCGTCGTCGGGGTGGGGTCGGGGCCACGTTGAAGACGGAGGGAGAATGTGGGCTCGCGGCCGCCGCAAGAGAGGGCTCCTTCTGGGGTGCGTCGGTCGGCCGGGTCCCTGCGGTGGGCGGTGCCAGCACTGGGGGCGGGTCCCCCTTTGGGGTGGAGTCAGTTGGTCTGGCCCACCCTGGGGTCAGATCCAGGACCAGGGCCCGCCGTGCCTGGGAGCCACCCACCCAGTCTGGGCTACCTTGCAGGGCGCCGGTGGTCCGGCACTACAAGGTGAAACGCGAGGGCGCTAAGTACGTGATCGACGTGGAGGATCCGGTGAGCACGCGGGTGCCGAGAAGCGCCCTTGCGCCGTCCGCACCCTCCGCCCTCGCCGTGACCACGACCCACTCTCCGCAGTTCTCCTGCTCCTCGTTGGACGCAGTGGTCAACTATTTCGTGTCGCACACCAAGAAGGCGTTGGTGCCATTCCTGCTGGACGAGGACTACGAGAAGGTGTTAGGTGCGTGCGGCTTTGCGGATCGGGGGCGGGGGTGGGTGTGGAGGGCCCTGTGCGTGCCTCTCCTGTCCTGGCCCTGTCCGGGCCACCCCCCCGGCCAGCCTCCGGCTATGTGCCTGCTCCAGGCCACCCTCTCTGTTCCAGGCTACGTGGATGCGGATAAAGAGAACGGGGAGAACGTATGGACAGTGTCCTCTGCCCCTGACTCGGACCCAGGTGAAACTCCCTCCGCTGTTGCTGGGGCGGACGAGGGAGGGACCTAGGACCCATGCCGCCTCACCCCCTCAGCACATGGGCTCCCCGCCCATAAGTGCCTGATTCATACCCAGAGTCCAGGGGCAGAAATTACCCAGGCCTTGTCCTGAGGAGGTTGCAGGTTGGGGGTGGGGATGGCCACAGCTGGACACAGGTAAGTCCCATCCCTGTGGGGTGGAACGTGGGGTGAAGGAGAGGGAGACACCTGCAGGAAAGGCTCCCTGGAGGGATGCTGTTGGCTGCAGATCCCAAGGGATGTCAGTGGGCAGAGAGGGCATTGGAGGGACAGAGGATGCCCAGGGATGGGTGAGTGACAGGGAAGGGGTGGCAGTCAGTTCTGTTTATGGGGCAGGAGGAGGCAGGACACCTGCAAAGCTCTGTGGGTCGGGCATTGCAGGGTCCCCACACATGTCCACAGGCAGTGCAGGCTCCGTGAGCTGTGTCCACCCGCACAACCAGAGGCCCCCGTGTGCGTATGTAGACACGACAGTCTACACATGCATGTGTCCCGTGTTCCAGCCACGTGTCCACACCACACAGCACACACCTCCTGGAAGCCGGCAGCACATGGACACACACGGGCAGAGCCCTCTCAGTCCTAGATCATGACAACAGCAAAAGGCATGGGCCAGCGCGGGCCTCCAGAGCTGCGTGGGGTCACGCGCACAGGTGCAGCAGGCGCCTGCGTACAAGCCTTAGGCGTATATTTAACTTATACAAATCCAGTGTGTCTGCTACCCAGGGACACAAATGCAGGTTCACAAAAACCACAGATGCCCAGGGACATATATACGTATTCAGACATGCACACAGACCCACCCTAAGGCATCCCTGTACCACATGTGCCTGACAGTGACTTTCTCTGCCAGGTCCTGCACCCCCTGCAGGTGGCCCCAAGTCACTGCCTCCTGTGGTATCCAGCCAGGACAAACTGCCCCCATTACCTCCCCTGCCCCCGCTACCGAGCCAGGATGACAACTACGTGACCCCCATTGCAGATGCCCCAGCTGTGGACTATGTGAATCAGGATGGTGCGAATCAGGATGGTGCATGGGGCAGGGTCCTGTTGGGTGGGGGCAGGCTAATGGCCCCTGTGACACTGCGCATTTGTCCACACAGTGTCTTCCTCTGGTTGTCCGGTTGTCCCAAAGCCCAAGAAGTTAGCAAAGGCTCCAGCAAAGCCTCCAAAGCCACCCACTTTGCCCAAGCCAGGTAGGGATCCCTCCCCACTTCCTCCCCCATCTGCCAGAGGGCAGCCGGGTCCCACGTCTGCCTTCTTTACAGTGCCCAAAGGCAACAACAGGCCGCCGGCCAGGAAGTTGGTGGGTGGCTCACCCCAGGCTGCCTTCCTTGCAACAAGTAAGTGGTCTGTGGGTGCCTGCAGGGTGGGCATCCAAAGGGCGTGACCTGGAGGGTCACACAGGACCCCGAGGGCCCTGCAGGTCAGTGCTCTGGTCTTGCGATTCCTCATGCCTTGGGACACATTTAATCTTGCCTTGGGCCCTGGACGTCTGTAGATGGTCCTGATGGGTTGGGGTGGACACAGGCTGGGATCCGGGCCCAGCTGAAGCCTCAGGACCACCACCCTAGGGCTGGGGGACGTGACGGCCGAGCTGCAGGAAAGGCTGCAGAAGAGGCGGGCCCTGGAGCAGTGAGCCGCCGCCTGGGACAGGAGGGCTTTGGCCCCAGCTCAGCAGCCATCTGTTCTCCCAGGATTAAAACTTGAGTGACCAAGGCCCACGTGTTTGGCTTGGCTCTGGATGGGGTGGGACGTGTTCTCACGGCTGGCACCACTTACCCCCGACACCTCAGCTCAGCCAAGCCTGCTGCTGGGTCACCTAGGAAAGCCCGCGAGGCCCCAAGGCCAAGCAGCAGGCAGGACCACCCAGCCCCAGAAAGCAGCCCGCGCCTGCGCAGTGTTGGACCTTTATTAGGAAGTGAGGTGGGAGGGGCCACCTGGGCCACGCCCTGGCGGTGCACCCCTCAGGAGTTAAGGCTCCAAGCAGCAACAGAGAGAAAGGCACCCAGCTGACAGGGCCGGGCCAGGCGGCCCACAGACACCCTGCCGCTGGGTGGCCGGGGGCCTAGGTGAGGCTGGTGTTGGAGCTGCTGGTGGCACTGCCCCGCTTCTGCAGGCAGCGCACGGAACTGGGGACCTGGAGGCCTGTCGTCACCTGGAAGCTGCCACACCACACCTGGGGCAGGTGGGGAGGAAGGAGGCTCAGCCGCGCCCCACACCCTCAGCCCCCCTCCTCCCCGGGCCGCCAGGGCCGCTCACTGTGAAGGCAGGCAGCAGCGGCTGTGTGAACTTGGCCTTGAAGGTGTGCAGCAGTTGCTTGGTGCGGGCATTGTAGAAGGACAGGAGGCCTGGGGCGGAGGGCAGAGCGACAGGGACCGTGTCAGGAGTGGGATGCGGACCTGGGCGCTGGCAGGGGCGGGGCACAGGCAGCTGGAGGTGGGGGTCACCTTGGTGAAAGTCACAGTGCACGCCCAGACAGTCGGGCACGGGGGCGTCCAGCACCTTGACTTTGTTGGCGTGCTTGGCCGTGAAGCTGACCTGCAGCCAGTTGTTGACATGCAGGCACCAAGACGCAGGGGTCTTGCCCAGCTGCTCAAAGCGGCCCAGGCTGCGGTAGGCCACTCCAAGGCCGAAGGCCTTGCTGTCCGGTTCGTAGCGCACTTCCCAGTACTGCTCCCCGCCATCGATCAGCGTGTCGCCTGTTGGCCAGAGTAGGCAGTGGGGATGGGGCAGAACCCAGGCCAGATACACTTCCAGGGAGGGATGGCCACCCAGGTACTCCCCACACCACAGCTTCTCCCTCCAGGTACTCCCTACACCACAGCTTCTCCCTCTGGGTACTCCTCCTCAGGCCCCAGTTGTCCCCCAGGTTTTATGGACCCTCTGGATACTCACTAAGCCTAGATACTCTCCAGGACTCAGTGCCCCTCCCCCCGCTTTTTTTTGTCACTGGGGATTGAATCCAGGGGCACTTAACCACGGCCACGTCCCCAGCCCTCCCTCCCCCAATCCTGCAGCCTCTCACTTCTCCTGCTGGCTCCTTCCCGTAACCTAAGCCCCTTCCCCTTCAGCTCCTCTGCAACCCCAGGTGCTCCATAGGCCACCATTCTACCCAGCTACTCCTGAAACCCAGACGTGCCCCCGACTCCCAGCAGCCCCCCCACACCCCCGGACGTCTCCCCTAGGCTCCTGCCCGCTGCTCCTGCCCCCAGTTCCCAGACCAGAGCAACGGTTCCCCCTGGAGCCATTCCAGAGCGAGGTCTGGCCAACAGCTGCCCTGTCCATCGAGGGCGCTGTCCCTGCACCTATGCCCAGGGTCCCCCCAGTGCTCCTGTCCCCCTTCCTGCCCCTCCTTACCCAGCACCGTGTAGGATTCAGCCGTGAAGCGATCCCTCCCACCTCGCCCCGAGGACATCCTCTTGGGAGACGGAACACCTCTGTGGGCAGCAGAGAGGCAGCAGGGTTCAGGCCTGCTCCAGAGGAGGCCTCTGTGGTCAGTCCCTGACAGGATCTGGCTCTTTCTGTATGGTGGGCCCTTCCACGTCAGAACATGCCCGTGCCCCTCCTCGCCTGGAAGGCTCCTGCTCTCCATCTGCACCCTTCACAGCCTCCTGGAGCCCTGGCCTCCTCCCTCCTCCCAGTTCTGAGCTCTGGGCTGTCCCGCCCCTCAGCTTGAGCCTCCCAGGCCTGGGCACGCAGGTACCTGGCGGGCGAGTGCACAGGAGACGCCGTCCGGCCCTTGCCCTCCTTCTCGCGCGCCTTGATGTCCTGCACCTTCCCGCCCATGGCGTCCCACTCCACGGCCAGGTCCTCCACCCGCAGGTTCTGGTGGGATGTGGACGCATCCAGGCGGAACATGAAGGCTGGGCCGGCAGACGAGGGAGTCACAGAGATGGGAGCACCCAGAGAGACACAGAGACAGTGACAGGCAGGACAGCAGAGAGACAGGTACAGAGACAGGCGGGAAAACACCGACAGAGACAAGAGGGCGCAGGCGGGAAACCGAACACGGAGGCGGAAGAACCAGTCTAGAGGCAGCCCAAGGCATTGCTCTGCCCTGGGCCTCCACTGAGGACTCATCACAGGAAAGGGGAAGGACTACAGCATGGAGGACTTAGACTAGACAGCAGAGGGCCTTCCTGGTAGAGCGTGCACCGTGTCACTGTGGGAGGCTGCAGAATCTACTTTCACTATTGATATTCTGGGCCCAACTCTAACAGGACTGCTCTATTTGATGAGAGAGGGACAGCATATGTATGTATTAAACCATCCCTGTACAATGGGATCACTCTGAGAAAAAGCAGGGTGGTACATGACAGCCACTGTGGACTCAGCTTTGAGCTTCCTGGCAGCCAGGGCAACAAGGGCTGCAGAATCTGGTTAGTGGATTCTCATGACACACTGGAACCCAGGGCTCCAGAAGGGAGGGATATGGACAGGGAGGGGGTGGGAGCCAGTCACCTGGTGTCTCCAGGGTCACCGGCTCAGAAAATTCTCCTGCAACTGCCTTATTGCAGGCTTTCACACGGAAGTTCATGTATTTCATGTCAAACTTGAGGCCTGGGGTGCAACATTTGGAGGTCAGTTCTGTGCACTCCGAAGCCTTGGGCTGTGGGGGAATGACATCCCACCCATGCCACCGCAATCCCACCGCCCCCAGGCTTGTCAGCAGCACCCTTACAAGCAAGTCTTCTTTCTGAAAAACTGTGCTGATCTCACCCACCCATGGCCCCCCCCCATTATTGGACTCCGCCTCCAACCCAGAGCAGCCAATCAGAATGCTTTACAACAGAGTGGTTGGTTGAGATGGGCACATGACCCAAGCTGACCAATGAGAATTGGCCCTGGGACTTTGATCCTATATGAAGCAGCGTGGCCCCTCCCTCTGGAAAAACTGCCTTTAAGCAAATTTGCTGTCACATTTTAAGAAACCTCTTGAGAGAGAAGTTCTGCCACCACGGATAAAGGTGACTGTTATTGCTAGAAGCCTTGAACTTGGCTACCCATGACTTTTTTTGTGTGTGTGCTGGGGATTGAACCCGGGGTGCTGTACCCCTGAGCCACATCCCCAGCCCTCTTATTCTTATTTTTTTAAAATTTTTTTATTTTTTAATATTTATTTTTTAGTTTTCAGCAGACACAACATCTTTGTTTGTATGTGGTGCTGAGGATCGAACCCAGGCCGCAGGCATGCCAGCCGAGCACGCTACCGCTTGAGCCACATCCCCAGCCCCTCTCTTATTCTTATTTTGAGACAGGATCTCGCTAAATTGCTGAGGCTGGCCTTGAACTTTCGATCCTCCTGCCTCAGCTCTAGGGTTACCGTGTGGCCACTGTAGCTGGCCGTGCTGGTTAATTCTCCCTCCCCCTAGGGTATAATCCAGCCCCAGCCCAGTTTCCTGGATTCACATGAACTACTGTTGTGAAACCAGGGCCACGGAGGAAGCTGGGGGAAGGGGACAAAGATCCTGAGAGCACTTTTTGAATTTTCACAACTTCCTATGTATCTGTAACCATTTCAAAATAAAAAGTTACAAAAAAACAAACAGAAAGCAGGAGGACCTAGGGGTGAGGATTGTGGAATCCCAGAAGAGAAAAAAAGGGTGTGCATGTGTGTTTGTTTTGATTCCCATGAAAGGAAAAAACCAATAGCTGCTCAGGCTGTCTGGGTGATTTTCCCCTCTGCAATTAGCAAGCTCATTATTAACCACATATGCTAATTACAGATAACTAGCAGGCTGATGACAGCCTGGGAAGGAGGAAGTGAATGGGGACACCCCTGACATCAGCACGGCTCTCCGCCCCCAGGACTCCCCTTTCTAAACTCATTAGGGAGCCCCCACTTTCCAGCCTTCAGACCCTCCCCCAGCAGCTGGGTGGACTCCTCAGGCTTTTGACTTCTTGTAACTGCCAAGGAAATCCTGAGTCCTGGGAGGCCAGTCCTAGGGTCCCCGCAGAGGTGAGGCTGCGCTTGCCACCAGGCCAGCCCAGATCAGCGAGTGGCTGGCTGGCTGCTGGACAGCAGAGACAGGGAGATACTTGCTGCGCTTCCTGTCCTTCCTGGGTCACGTGGTGACCGCAGCCACACCTGTGATGTGTGTGCTCAGTCATGGCACAGCGCTGCCGGCCATCTCTCCTCCACCCCGTTCCTTTCTGATGCTCCTGACCGGCCCACCCACAGGTTGCCCTAGACCCTGAGCTCTGGGGAGGTGGGCCAGGCCCAGGTGGACTCATGGCTCAAAGGCACCTGGAGGCAATGAGCTGGCTGGGTACCTGTCAAGGTGTACTCTGTGTGCCGGATGCCCTCAATCACCATCCAAGGCTGGTCCTCCTTGAGGCGCGGCGGGCCCTCGAAGTTGGTCCTTCGGTACTCCAGCACATAGTGGTCAATCTTGCTGTCCTCATCTGGCATGCGCCACACCAGGGTCACACAGTTATCTGCCACCAGGGACTCGGCCAAGTCGATCACAGGAGCGCTGGGCACTGCCCAGGACAGAAGGGAGGGGGGATCAGGACTCTGGGGTATAGGCAAGGGGCTTGTGGCAGTGCCCCTGCCCCAGGATGACCTGTCTTCTACACCTGGGACAGCCCCTCTGGGTTTGTGACGTGGGGGTCGGCCAGTGCCTTCCCAGGGTTCACCCAACACAGTCAGACCCTGTCAGATTCCACCAGTTACAGGGGCAAGGTGGCCACGCCTATAATCTCAG